GGGGGGTTGTTAGCGTCTTAAATCCAGACGCAGCCAACGCTACGGGCTAATAGAGAGTTCTCGTAGATCGCTTCCACCGTTGCGCAACGCTCTCCGCAACCCGCTACAATTCCCGGAACTCTATAGGGAGTATTCACTGGCGGCCATATCCGTGTGTGCTGCTGCTGAGCGCGTGCTGACGGCGAGCTTCCGCAGTCCTTTTTGGAGCGCGCATTTAGCACCATCGAGGTTGCCGGTCTTGGCAGGCTATTGATGTGAGCTCGTTCTGAGCATGCGCTCTAAACATCGCCCTCAAATATGGCGTCCAGTGAATACCTCCTATAGTCAAGGCCATCGGCACGGATTCCGAGCATACATATCGAACGAGTCAAAAGATCCAATAGACGAAAGATCCACAAGTGGATATTCAGTCTCGTTTGATATTCAGACACATTGGACATTCGGACCTGGTTGAATATTCTGCCTCGTTGGATATTCGGTCGTGGTGGACATTCAGGCTTGGTTGAATCTACCATCTCGATGGATATTCAGTCACGATGCACATTCAGGCCCGGTTGGATCTTCCGTCTCGTTGGATATTCAGACTCCTTGGACATTTACTCTCAGTTGGACATTATTTTTCGATGGAAATTCGTCTCGCCCGTTACGTAACCAAGTGGATACCTGATTTTAGCATTGCGTTTCACATTGTTTACGTATTTCGAGCTGGTAGATCTTCAAATTTCTAAAAAAAGAATGCTGGTTGCTGAGGCGGATTCAGGTTGGTTAAACTTGGCTGTTAAGATCGAACCGATTTTGAAATTGCCTCACGGCTTATAAATAATTGTGCTTGGATGTAACTTGCTTATTCTTATGTGCACCATCCTGTTTCAAGGAACCGCTGGCCCTTGTCCGTTTTGAAGAGGGATGCGCGTGGCCTTCGCCGGCTTACGCTCGCCTGGGGGGTACATTGCATGCTTCCTCCCGACGAGGTCTGCTTTTTGGGATTGTCGGAGGAGTTCGGGTGTCGTTGTTCCCCAGCGCCTCCTCTACCAACCTTGTTCGGCCTTTGCCGAGGCACCTTGGCTGGGTGCTTGGTTGAGACGGCGGCTGAGACTTCAGTGGGAGCTGCGTGGTCACCGGACCAATCAGCCGCCTCCCTCCTATTACCTGCATGACCCGGCTCTCTGCGTGGATATGAGCGGAAGCGTGATGACGTGGCGAAAGAGAGGCGCAGGACGCAGCTTCCACGGTAGTCTCAAGTTTGGGGTGAACTGAGTATAGGGCATAGGCTGTACACTTCCCGGTTTTTACCGAAAAACACCGATATACATCCGCCGGTGTCGAAAATAAAAAATCGGTTAAAATAAAAAGCCCTCATATTTTTTTCATATTTTCGAGCAAGCGTTGGTGTTTTTTTACCGTTAAGGTCCTGTATATTTAACCGACAAACACCGATAAACGTTCGCCAGTAATAAAAACAAAAATTGTTAAAAATAACACTGTTTTTTTAAATATTTTTTGATAGAAATTTTTTCTATTTAGTCCTACGCAAACTTCAGTCAAACACATTATCTTGCCCGAAATCATGCACTTTGCCTGTTGTTCTTTTGTGACCTACGTGGTCTTGGACTTTTGGAGGACGGTAGCTCTATTCGGATTCCGAGTCAGAAGACACAACGCGTCAAAACATCCACCGAGTCAAAACAGCAATTCGTGGATGTTTTGTCTCGGTGGATGTTCTGACTCGATAGATGTGTTGACTCCATGGATGTTTAGACTCGTATGGATGTTCTGACTTGATGAATGTTTTGTCTCAATGGACGTTTTAACTCGGATGGCTGTCATGAACATTTTGACGAATTGAATGTTTTATCATTTTTTGCCTGAAAGGAGAGAGCTGTTATGTAAACGACTTTTGATGATATGGTAAGCAAGGACCGTGTGCACACGCTCCTAGATAAAATTTATTAAATTAAGAGGGTCAAAATTTAGTTCGTTATTTGACGGAAGTGGATAGGGTATGTTCTTATTTCTTTACAATTATTCGAGCTGTGGACTGCCTTTACGATTTTATTATCTCATTGAGACCTTGTCAGTTATTGAGGCTATTCAGTAAACGTGCGTTTTTATATGTATTCTTTGATTCCGATTTCTACAATCTTCTACCAGTGCAGTTACTTTTTTGTTTATTTTCTGTTTTGTAAAATCATGGCTGTTGTTTTCTTTGATCCCTGCTTCAACCACTCATGGTCTGTAGTTTTTAATAATAAATAAATAAACAGAATATTAGAGATAATATCATCAGGGGCATGTAAACGCAGAAATATATTTTTTGTTTTTTGTTTTATCACTCTATTAGGGGTGATAAAACAAAAGTGTACGCTCGTCAGTGACCCTGTGTCTCTCTTGTAGCTTAACGGAGCGTAAAATAAAACCGTTTTTTCGTGGTCCGCTTTGTATTAAAATCAGGCAGGACACGATGGCGCAGTAGCGATGGCTCTCGAAAGCAGCGAGCGGTAATGTTACGTGATAACGCGACGTGGTTTAAGATTGGAATTTACCTACATTGCCAGTAAAATGCACTGCTTTGAGGTCTTGGGTGGCGTTTTATTTGCTGTGATTTAATAAAACACAAAAATAAATTTAATGAAACAAATAAAACACGAACACGAGGTACCCTACATCCAGGACACTGACCAAGGTGGTTGATCAAGTGTATCCCCGAAACTGACACTCGGCAAAATTCGCAGTCTCGAGCCGCCAAAAATTCTTATATGTATATTTTTTTCTTTTTTCAAGTCAGATATTAATGTTTTCAATCAGATGAATGTTTTGACTCTGATGGATGTTCTGACTCAATGGATCTTTTGACTCAGATGGATGTTTCGACTCTGATGGGTGTTCTGACTCGATGGATGTTGAGACACGGATCGATGTTCTTACTCTATAGATGTTTTGACTCGATGGATGTTCTGACTCGATGAATGTTCTGACTCGATGGATGTTTTAACTCGATAAATGTTTTGACTCGGATGGATGTCTTGACTCGTTGGATGTTCTGACTCTGGTGTCACGTGACCTCTTGGACGTTTTGACTAGATGAATGTTCTGACCCAATAGATGTTCTGGCCATAAGCGCTCTATTCCCGTTCTCCAAGGTCATCGGTCCTCTTAGGCCACCAACCTTGAAAATAACTATCAGTGGCCAGAGAGGCCAGTCACAGCCGGTACTCTTGTTCTCTTGAGATGAGGACAGCCTCAATGCCTTTATCCCATTCAAGTCAAAACGGGAGAACAGTGTGAAAGAGATTGTGTAAAAGGCTTATCACTATTTATTCGGGAGAAGTATGCTCGATAACTTACAGGAATGAAATAAACGTAACCCATTTAATATCCAGCCTCAGTGGACATTCGGTCCTGGTTGGATATTCCGTCTCCTGGAATATTAGGTCGCGGGGGACATACAGGCCTGGTTGGATCTTCTATCTCGATGAATATTCAGTCACGGTGGACATTGAGGCCTGATTGGATCTTCCGTCTGTCTCTATATACATTCTGACTCGTTGGACATTCCGTCTCAATTTGACATTTCGACTCAATGGATATTTCGTCTCGCCTGTCACGTGACCAATTGGATGTTTCGACTCGTTGGATGTTTCGCCTCGTTGGATCTTCTGTCTCGATGGATATTCAGGCCGCAAGCGATCGGCGCGCAGGCGCAATAGCGGCTTCTTCGTTGTGGAGGGCTTAGAGGAGGGGGAAACACGGTCAACGAAATCTCCCTATCGTGTCAATTCAGGCAGCGTCGAAAACACAAGTCACTGGGGCCTTTTTTTATTAGAATTCGTTTAGCGATGTCAAAACACGTACAGAAACATTACGACGACAGTGATGACGCGCTTTTCTGCGCAGTTTGATTGGTCCCATCCGCTAATAGCGTCGGCTGCCTCTGGACTTAAGGTCAAACGATGTATAATACATGACTAAACCTAAAAAGAAAAAAAAAAAAGTGCGTTGTGGTGTTGAGCACAACGTTTCAACATACTCAGCACAAGAACACAGACTGTATTTTTTTTCTTCTTAGTTTTAAACACATATTTAGCCTCGATCCTCATTTGCCAAGCGTCCTCATATAAATTTCCAGCGATCGGCTCCTCCAATCGACTCTTTCGAACGACTCTTCCTTTCTTGGAGCGTGTGACCCGGCGAAGAGATTGGTTGCGGTGATGATTTCGTGTCCTTTTGGCAGATTGCGAATCTGTCGAAGATTTGCACATGCGTAAGTATGAGCCCACAATTTCGACTGGGATTTATAGAGGTGGCGACGTTTGCTGCTCGGCGAGGGTTCTGAACAAAACCCTCACACATTAAGGGTAATCTTTTCGTATACGTTGCTTCGCTTACGTCCGCTACATGTTGTTTGACGTTTGTTCCTTCATTCTAGGAAATCCGAAGCGTCTGTTTTGCCGCAGATTTCATTGATCGCCTCTCCCAACTCCGAGTGTTTTGCGGGAAAATAGACGCTGCCGATTCCTTGGAGTGTCGGGTATGTGAGAGAATTTTCAAACATTTTTGTGCACTCCAGCCTTTTAGTTCTCGTCCGTCCAAAATGTAGAGAAGGAAAACACGCCCGGAACGCAGCATATGCCTGTTTGAAGTCCATTCCACTCTGACTCAGGCTGATTAACCTATAACCACTCGATGAATAAAAATACTTTTTTTTTTTCATGCGAGACCAAGGATTAAATATTAAAAATGATCAATTCTCGCGTAAACCACGCGGCAAAAGAAAGATGAACGAGTCGTTTAAAAAGACCCTAATTTATTCCGCGGATAGCGCAGATAAATACAAAATCACAGGTACCAAAAATTAAAAAAAAGAATAAAAAAAAGCAAGCTTCTGCATTGAGATGTCGCTAGTGAATTAGATTTAGGGTCTAGCTCATTTCCCGGTAGAAGCTGTAGTTCGCTCGTTCAAGTTTCTGCTGTCTTCCGACGGCCGCTTTTTTTTTTCTCCCTCTCTTCTGTTTGGCATCTTTTCTTGTTGGCGACATCATACAGTCCAGATGACACCAAAAGGTTCGTACCTGCAAAACAAAATGGGCGGTAAGAAGATTACATCTGATACTCACTGACAGCTTAAGAAACGCAGGGCATGGATTATTATGTTCACGCTTCTTGCTTACGCGTTAATCGTTCACGGGTGTTATCAACGGCTAATGCCGGTATCTCATGTGGACTGATAATGTGCTTTTCGGTATTCACCACGTACCGTGCGTTTCTTACGCCGTCAATGACAAAGGTCGTTTCGTCCATCTATTGTTAGTCAATTTACGCTGTTTTCATCGTAGGCCGCCTGTTTTAAAGGGGTAGAGAAAAGAGCCTGTCTCACAGAGAGTTTCCAACTGCTCGTTGAGGGTCACGTGGTGTCACCGCCTTTCCACCTGCTTTCCTTCTTGCCACACGACAACGCAGCGCATGCGCACTTGCGATCAACCTCTGCAGGAAGCGTCCACCATCGATTTGCAAACGTTCCACACGGTTTGAGATGGACACTCCCTTCATTCTAGTCTCCCTGTGAAGGATATCCAACCGCCGCGCTGCTGGCGGCTTAGTTGAGAACTAAGTGGCGCAGCGCTTGTCTGCTGTAGCCAAACGCTGCCTCATCGTTGGGCGCTGACTCGTGTTCAGGCAGTGAAGCACCGATTGAACGCGAGTGTCAGCTGAACGATTACTCAGCACTCGTGTTCAATGAGTGCCCCGCGCTCGATCGAGGACGATGACGTAAATGATTCAGTTCACAGGCTTTCTGATTGGTAAACACTGAGCTATGTGGAACACAAGCTTGCCAAAGTGACCTATGCAGTTCGATCTCCTCGCCAATAGCGAATTATCAAGTTCTCCTTTTCTTTGCTTGGCAATATATAAGTAAAATATTATAGGTCTAATTAAAAAAAAAAATTCTCTCTTAGCCCCGCAATTAGCAATGAAAAGGTCTGATTCGTTTCTTTTCTTTTTTTTCTCTTGACGCGTAGAAGTAGCAAATGCTATACACTTTGGTTTTATGACTTTGAATGTTTCCACAATCGGGACCAATCTCTAGCCCACGATTAACACATACCAATGAGCACAAAAGAAAGACCGCCTTTTTTGTGACGGCCCGAATGAACGACCCCCGTTACGTATAAACGAAAAAGAGGAGTTTTCGCAATTCTTGTCACGATCAGAATCAACGAACTAAGGACATTTGCGCAAATCGCTCGTGAAATTCGGTCTCAGTATAGTTCAAGTCAACCAGCGGGCGTCGATAATGAACAAAGTAAAAAAATATTAATTGAAATATATAGGGCAGATTTATTTGCATTTAAATAAGATTAATTTGATTTAAAAACTGTAGCTAAAATAGTATTTCAAACATGAAATCGATTGATCAACCCGTTCGATCGCTAGAAATAACATGGAAGACTTGCTGTCAATATAACGGTTAAATACTGAGCAACTTCTTATTGATGCAAGCCCTGCCGTACATGAACAAAATCCGCTTCATTTTGTAGTTAATGAGAAAAGATGTTTCTCGCGCTCTGATCTGCTTGCCATATGACATTACTATTCTTGTTTACATTTTTTTTCGCATTCTAGTTTGCTTGTAGTTGGACATTACGCAACAGAAACGAAGTGGGAGGTAGAAGGAAACTTCGACGCTCTGATTTGCTCTGAAGAGTACCTTTTTTTTGCTTTTGTTCAGCTTATTAAAAATTCTCTTCCCCAATCCTTTTAAATTTAAATGAAAAAGCACACACACACACATAGGAAGCATCATGTCATACACAAAATAAATATATATATATTTTTAAATAGTTTTTCGCGGGAAGTTTCGACTTAAATCATCTCAGCAAAACCGCTGTAATCGAGATTTAAGTCACGATCTAAATCATCCTTATTTTGATTCTTCGCCCAGCTTGTCAAATTAAATCGGGACGAGCCCGTCGTTTGGTCTTCTTTGTGTCTACGTGGGCGTCATCCTGACGCGTCTTCGAAGGAACCACGGGGAAGGCTTCATTGCCACTCTTTCTCACTGAATGTGTGCATCCGTCGGTCCATGCCAGGAACCGTATTCTGTTCCACTGTAGTCCATGACAGCTTCAGACACGCAAGGCGCGGCGAGTCCCACGAATTTCATTATCGCTCCGCCGCAGCCATTGAGAGTGCGGCATTTACCGATAAGATTACCGAAGAACAAATCGGAAAGATAGGAGGCCCTGCCCAATTGCTGTCAGTGACTGTAAACGTAAGAAAGATAGCAAAACTCGAAACGAAACAATACTTACTGTACAAGTTGGAGTTGAAGATACTGGAGATATCTTTCTAATTCTATGTAGTCGCTGGAAAATAACAATTAAAAGTGACGTTAGAATGCGTTCTCGAGACGTCAGTTTCTCGGATATACTATGTATAAGCTGCTCAACCAATGTTAGAGGTTCTGCAGTCACCGGGACATTTGTTCGTAAGTAAAAACAGCCCGTGTGTGAGCATTCTTCAACTAACGCGGACACTCTTTGCACGAAACATTGGGAGTAAACAAACCCGAGTTTCCTTACTCCCGTCTCAAAGTTAAGCAAACGCATACAAATGCAGACTCAGCCAAAAACATGTTTTTTTTTTTTTTTTTTTGGAGCGTTTTTTTTTTTGTTTTGTTTTTTTACATGGACACTTATCGCGACATTACCCTCCAGAGTTATTGGTGCTCTCACACATTTCCGTTTGAGCGCCTTTGATCGCTTAGCAACCGCCTTTTACCGCTTAAGGCCGCTACACACCTATGCGTTTGAGTGCATTCGACTGCGCTGCGTCGAGAAACGAAAGCGAGTCACCGGCTCATTCTGTCCTTCGTGTGAAGCGTGGAATACAATGCAAAAAATAACTTGGCAGGTGATATAAGAAGCGGAGATGTCCTGGCTTCTTGCAGCCGCAACGCAGTCAAACGCTGTTTAACGCAACTCTGTGGGTCTTTAGTGCGAAGGAACACAGTGACACTCCGACGCCATTTATTGGTAGCCCCTGAACTCTTTCGATCTGCGTATAACTATATCCAGGAGGCTTTGTGTTAGTTCCAAGATCAGGGCTACGCACTATACCCATGAGAAAAGGCCGTTTGTAACATTGTCGGAAATATTTAGAAACCGTAATGAAATAATGCTGGGTAAACAAAACTGGGAAATGTAGGCAGATGAAAAGCGTAACCGGTAGATGGCCCGAGTGTGTTCTCCAGTCGCAAGCGGTCACATTTGCACGCAACGCGTCGAATGCGATAAATGTGCGAGCCAGCCTTCACAGTTTGCGTTCCAAGTGGGCTAGATCGGCGAATGGATGAGAAGTTTTTACTGCAGACTGTGCGTGTTTTATCTTCTGAACTAAAGGAATTCTGAATGACGAAGTCAAACTCGAACACTTCTTGGTGCTGAATACTGTGACCTCCTTTAGAGCTGTCCACACGAACATGTGTGACGCATCCGTTACGCGTGCACTTTTTTTTAGTTTTTTTTTGCGGACGAATATAACGTTTTCCGGACGAATCCGGAAGTTTCCACACGTTGTTTAGAACACAAGAGTTAGTGAAAACTCGCGCTTTACCCCGGAAAAGGCCTATAAAGAAGGCCAACAAACTTTAGCGCGTGGAAGGTTTCTTTATAACCGCTGCGAAAGGATGGATCCGGTGAAAAAACGTCAACACTAAAAATAAGAAAAAATAAAAAAAGAAGACGTACACGGGAAGAGCACCTGTCGTTTCATTAGTTGCAGACATCTTTAATAGACGGCCTGGTCTGCGTCAGGAGGCGTTCAGAATGTTCTGGATCCGAACAACTTTCGGTAAATTTTCACAAGTGTTAATAGCAGTGTGGCGGCTTCTGTGTTTTGGCAGAAGCGATACCGGTAGTTACGTTTTGGTTATTAATGTGCTCTCTGCAGTGGTCGGCGGATTATTTTCTGATACCGGCGTGCCACTGGTTATAATAAAATTAAAGAAGCAAGTTTTTTTGTTTGCTTTTTGACAGGAGCAGGGACGCTTTTATCATAAATTGTTACTTGCGTGAAGTAATGGCGGCAGCTGGTTCAGTTTTTAACTTACCGAACATAATTATACTAATAAGTTTAGCAGTTTGCTTCGCTTCGTATACGCGAATGACACTCGAGGAGTTCAGATCGATTATAGTTTTTCAAATATAAAAAACAAAGACATTAAACAACTTGTAGAGCGAGCAGGTTGCAATTCAGCGGTACTGCATATACAACACAGTGCTTTGTTTGGGCAGGCTAGTGGCGTCACAGTAAGTGGTTTTATCGTGGCTGTGAACAGCTTTCCTTCAGATAAGGAGAGTACAAAAAAAGAAAGAAGAAAGAAAGAAGGAAGTTAGAGGTGGCAGAACGAAGACCAGTGACCATTCGAAGTAATCTTTTCTGGAGCTCATGCTGGTTCATGGAAAAGACCGCGACCCATCCTACCTTTGACGACGGCTCCCCGTGGAGATATCCGGGCTCCAGCACCGAATAAGCGAATTAATGCGCACCTGCTCACTTCTTCTTCTTCTTGGCCAGGACTGTGGCCTGGGAGACGCCTTCCCCCGGGTACGGACTGACGTTCTCCGGGATCTTGCCTGGCGCAGTGCCGATGACCGTCGGGTGGCTGTGGTTGATGTCGTCCGTGGCCGGGTTGAGCTGGAACTGCTTCTGGAACTCGCGGGTGCCGTAGATGATGCCGAAGTTTGTGTACCTGAACGAGGGCTGCTCGGCTTCGTAGCCTGGGTCCACGCCGGTCAGGATTGGGTAAGACCACGCTGGCGCCGTGAGGCACAGCAGCACAAACACCAGGCAGAGTTGATTCTGCGGAAGCAAAGAGGCAGATTTTGTCATTGAACGCAATCAATGTTTGGCGGCTTTAGATATTCGAGGATGTCCCTGGTACTTGGCGTCCTTGGGGGACAACTTTTTTTTTGTAACCTGCAATAAGGAAGAAGTGCGCGTGGAATAGCTTTGTTCAGCTCTCGGTGTGCACAAGGGCATGGGCGGACATGCGACGAGCAAGTGTTTGGAAATGCATCTTTGGCGCATTGAAACGCATGGAGGGGCACTCCATTCAAAAAGCAACATAATGACGACGCACACTTGGCGTCGTCATTCAACGAATGACGACGCCAAGTGTGCGTCGTCATTTGTTGAAATGCGGGGGGGGGGGGGGGGAGCAGAATGACGTGGGCGTATTTGGCGGGTAAACAGACGTGCGAGGTGCGCAAGGATCAGACGAACTTGCACACCGTACAGCCATTTATTGTATCTATAGTCGGATACAAGTGAAGGATGCGCCAAGCACCAGCACATGGAAGGCACGGCATCAAATTGCTTCGCGGACCAAGTAGTAAATGCCTTAACAATATAAGTGACGGCAGCGCGCCTTGCGCCTTGGTAGCGAACTAAACGCGCATCGCGGAAGAGCAGTGACTGTACTTCATTTCAGCATAGCTCAGACGCAGCCGAAGTTACGAGATAAGTGGACCAATGAAGCGGCATTAAAAGCGCAAGTCACATAGGTATTTTCTGTTTATGATTGGTTCAGCGATTAAAACACGTATGACAAACTCTATAATGGTGCGCTTTTGACGCCGTCTTATTGGTCCCATCAGCTCGTAGCGTTGTCTGCGTCTTGTCGATCGTACCACTAAATGCAAATTCATTAAAATTTCACGTCATGCCTCCGACGGTACGCCAACAGTTTACTCACCTAACAACGCTCTCTTCACCCATGTTAGTTCACACAAATATGTATCTCGGCGTTTACGTAACTGATAACCTTTCATGGCAAACTCACGTTGACTGCGTAACAAGTAACTTAAATCGTACTCTCGGGTACTTACGGCGAAACTTTTGTTTAGTCCCCTCTAGTTTGAAACCTCTGTTTTATAAAACTTTGGTAATACCAAAACTTAAATACGCGTCATCAATTTGGGACCCCCATTTAAACTCGCTCATTCCTATATAAAAAGCCATCCAAAATCGTTTTGTTTGTTTCATTTTTTATAACTACTTCCACACTGATAGCGTCACAGCAATGAACTTGAATTTAAACTTGCCCGATCTCGCTTTACGCCGTAAAATCTTTCGCCTTTGTCTTTTTTTTCTCAGAAAACCTGCCGTTATAACCCGTTTGTCAGTGACTTACTTTTCGAGCCGCCTTCATACATGTTTTTCTGCAACAACCATCCGTTCAAGGTTGGCGTGCCCTAGAGTCGAACAAATTTGCATTTTTGTTCCTTCATTCCCACGACATGCAGCGACTGGAACCACCTCTCCGTCCCCATCGCTTCCATCACAAACACCAATCTGTTCAAATATGCCATTTGGAATCATATATTGTAACCCTGCCTATTTTTGGCTTGCTTATGTCGTTATACATTTTAACCCACCCCCTCTACAATGCTTTGGCCTTGAGAGTAAATACATAAAATCTTGGAGGACGCTTCAGCTTCGTTTTTAAGAGTGGAACGCAATAGCGTTATTGGGTCCCGTTCGCAAATCCTTCTCATTCTCTTCTCGCGGTCTTCCTGTCGATAGGGAGTTTTGCGTAGATCGTTTTTGCCGTCCCGCAAGGGCCCTCCGCAACCTGCTACGATAGCGGGAACTCTTCAGCCAAGGCTATCGGCGCGCAGGCGCAGTAGCAACTTCTTCGTTGCGGAAGGCTTAGCGGAGGGGGCAGAGCGGTCTACGAAAACTCCGTATTGAGCAGTAAGTGCGGCGGACGTGGCCCGGTCAGTAGCCTTTCTAGCTCGCAACCAAAGGGTCGCTTGCTCGAATTCCGCCTAAAATTCTTTAAAATTTCCTTTAAGGAAAAATGAATTGCTTTATAAAGTGAACTCATTTGAGACATGCGGCGGCCTTTAATTCGAATTAATTGTGGTGTTTTTTTTAATCACTTTCATTCCACGCGCAACGTCACGTTTCACGTGAACTTTGTGGGTTGTCTGAAATTCCCGCTAGGGGTCATGTAGCTGTGACGTCATGACCTTATCGACCAATCAAGATTTTCGCGTCACGCCACCGACGCCGGCATTTTCTGCCACGCACGCCACTGAGGCCGGAATTTCTGTGACACGGGCTCCTCAACTCTATCGCGCTAATGAACAAATAAATTAGCGCGCATTCTTAACTTCACCTCACTATATACTTCGTTTCAGCTAAAGTTCAGACGCAGCCGACGCTACTAGGTAATGGGACCAATCAAGCAGCGTCAAAAGCGCCAGTCACTGGGATTGTTTCTGTTCATGATTGGTTTAGCGATGATAGAACACGTATGAGGAGCACTATGATGGCACGCTTTTGACGCTGTCTGGTTGGCCCCATCAGCTCGTACCGTCCACTGCGTGTGGACTTAATGTGAAACGAAGTATAGTATTCTATTTCCAAGAAAGTTTGTCATACAAAAAATGATGTCGCGTAATCGCAGAATGCCTGAAAAACAATTTTGATAATCTTTTTTTTTTTTTTAATAACGTATTCTCATCCGGATTTTTAATAAATAAAATTTGTTCTGTACGTGGGTTTCAGTCACAACTAGATACTTGCACAAAAGTAAACACGAAGGGGGAAAAAACAACAACAAAACGTTCGGGCTCCAATCCACGCTGTGGAGGTGGCTGGACACCGAAGCTGTGCTATTACCTGCGGCGATTGCCCACTGCACGAAAGACCCTTTTTATGGAAAACGCCACCCAGGTGGTACAGTGAGACCCGTTTAGAACGAACACACGCATAGCGAATTATTTTCAATATCGAACTCACGGAAAATATAAATAAAAATGCATGTAAAAAATACTTTTCTATAACGAACAACATATTGGCTATATCGAACTTTTTCCCCCGGGAAGGCTTTTAGAAACGCACAAAATATCGTCTTCTAGCGTGTCCCTCTCCCCCCTCCCCCCCCCCCCCCCCAAAAAAAAAAGAAAAAGTGGGAAAGAAAGAAAATTCCAAAAGCTCAAGCTGTGATCAAAATTGACAGAGGAGCAATCAGAAAGGGAAAAAGCTAAAAAAAAGAAAAAAAAAAGACTACTGCACCCACGCACAGAAAAAAAAAAACTTCATTTCAATGCTGTTGTTTACGAAGCGAAGAAATTCAGAAAGGAAAATAAGCTAAAAAAAAAAAAAAAAACTTTGCACGCATGCAAAAAAAAAAAAAAAAATTACTTTTTAGCTTTTTGTTACAATTAGGGATGCCGCGAACCACGCTAGGCTCGATTTCGAAAGGTTTCGATATTTTCGAACCAAACTGAGGTTCGAAATCGAAAGATATTGATATTTCCTACCATACGGAGGTTGGAATTCGAAAAATTCGCAACTTTCGAAAACCGCGGAGTTTCGAATTCAAAAAGGTCGAAGCTTTCACGGTTTCTAAAAGTTCGGGTTGGATTATTTCGAATATTTTTTTTGCTTGAGGTTCGAGAAATTGAAGATTTCGAACTTTCCTAACTTGAAACTCGAAAGATTCGAATGTTTCGAATTTCTGTGGATCTGAAAAAAAAAAATAAAGTTAGATAAAATCGAAGATTTCGAATTTCTTTCTACATGAAGTTCGAAAAGGTCGAAGGTTTTGATTCTCTTTTAAGGCTAAATCCGAAAAAAAAAAAAAAAAAACTTCGAAGGTTTTAAATTTTTTTTAAGTCCAAGTGCGCAAAGTTCCAAGTCTGGTCCACAGTTTCAAATAACGTGTTCAGTGGTTTTCACGAAATCAGGTTTAGAAAAGTTCGGGGGTGATAATTAGACTGCGCGAAGTTGGTCAGGCAATTAAATGAGACGACGAGTGTCACGGATGTGCTGGAACATTTGCCAGTGCAGAGTGACGTTTGACCATAGATCAGTAACTGTGACCGCCAGCCCGGGGGGGGGGGGGGGGATCATTGACGTGCATCACGAAGTAGTGAGCACACGAACGCACTGCTTAACGACACTCATCCAATTCGAAACGGCAGGCGGGGGGTTGAGGCTCAGAAAAACCTTGAAGCGACCTGGCAAACTGCCCCCCACTCCCTTGCACGCTGGTAGTAATCCGATCGAACGCCGCCCGAGTGACGCTGGCATATAGTAAGTTTAGTTTGTACATGATGCATGATGCAATACATAAAATTTGAAAGAAAAAGTGTAAGAAGACAGAAAAAAGGTAACAGTACAACGTCTCAAGCTCAGCTCAGGACAACGTCTCAAACTCAGCTCAGCTGAAAACTCATCTCAGGGCAACGTCTCAAACTCAACTCAGCTGAGTTTCAGACGTTGTCCTGTCCCCTTTTTTCTTTCTTCTTACACTATTTCTTTCGAATTTCATTCGCAGCCTCCGGAATTCGGATCTTGATCAACATACACCAGCTCGCCTGCACCTTGACAATTATTTTAGTTTGTAATTGCTTTGGAGATTTATTTTCCAGGACAGAAAAAACGCCGAGCAAAAAGCACAGAAGCCGACACAACTTAAGGTCGAGGGCCGTTCTACCATACCAATGGCGTCGGTGAAAAAAAACGGGGGGGGGGGGGGGGGGGGCTCCAGTCTCCCGCCACCCCTAAGATATTTCGGACTGTTAAAGAACGCAATACGGAAAAAGAGGGCATGGTCGAGCTTATTTTAATTTGAAATTATTTATGCATATGTACAGCTACTGTCCCTCTTCACTGCATAAAATATCACTTAGATAATCAATGTTAGAAACTCGTTGTCAGACACTCGTCACATCCTCGGTGGTTCAGAAGTTCAGAGCTATGTCTTTTGGACCTAAATAACTGTGCCATTGGCAAAAAAAAAAAAAAAAAGAAAAAAAAGCTGTATGATTTTGCTGGGAGTGTGG